CTATTGCAAACAGAAACAATACTGTACTACATAGATGTTTCCTGTTGGCTTGATTTTTGAGTGGACTTTGCTGTTCTGGTGAGCATGAACGGTGTATGAGTGGAGCACTCACATGGGCCGTGAGCGACTGAGCGGAGCGCACACGCATAGAGCGGGATAATACGCATAGCGTCACACCGCGTGGAAGTGAATCCTGAGCGGTGAACTAATTTTTGGCAGCCAGAATTTCAGTTCATCTCTAATTATTGACAACATCAGAAATTGATATTATATAATAGCTGCTTTTTTGAAAATTTTAGCAATTTAAAAATATTAAAAAAGTGTATTTTTTACACGGCACCCGTGCTCTCGACAGACGCGGCACCCCGGTTGGGAAACACTGTTCTAAATAATGCCGCGAGTGGGGCTTGAGGAAGTGACGTCGCCTGCGTCTGCGCAGTGCGACCTGATGCAGCCCCTGAAGTGAGACACAGGAAACAGAAATACTGCAAAATAATAATAATAACGTGACTAAACGAGACGAAATAACGTTATAACATTTCGTTTCGTCTCATTTTGGTCAACGAAAATGAAGAGACATTTTAGCATAGTTTTTATTGTGTAAACCACATTTAGTCTCGTTTTTATTCGTCAACAATATTGCATTATACATTTAATTATAGTCATCGTCACATGACCAGCATTTACGTTGCGTCCCGTCTCGTTTTCGTCACGTGATAAAGGTTCGTTGACAACGATATTTAGTCATAATTTTCGTTGACGAAAGCAACACTACATAGGACCATAAAATGTTCATCCAATCATATCCCTCGGTCTGAAGGCTATGATAGGCTGTCCTACCTGCCTGTTAATGTATGTATTTGCATACCTCCACATACTCTGTTCGACATAATATGCCATCAGCTCGTTCCATTACACTATTGCATACCGAGCGAGAATGGAATGTGTTATTATTGTAATATAATGCATTTTGTATTGTAATGTTTTCTCACCGGTGAATGAGACATGATGTAGCCTAATCTGACAGCGTTGCAATCAACCCTCCACCAACTCCCTCTCTTCTCGTGTCGCTGGTTAGCCTCTGGTCTGCCTGTGTGCGTTCATGTGTTTTGGAG